GCACTGTGCTATTCCCTGTTGCTGAACTAATAATGAGAGTAGATCATAAGATAGTAGCATGGGCCAATGATATAGGTGTAAAGCACGACATGACCGAGCGGGCCATGCCACCCGCGGCCCATGTGCTAGCCCGGCCCGGCCCAGCACGACCCATATATATATATATATATATATATATATATACATATATATAATTTTTTTTTCAATTTTATTATATTATTTCATTTTATTACTGCATGTATAAACAATTGTATACATCAAAATTCATATAAAATAAAATTTTAAGATCTTTTTTAATTTTTTGTCTATTTTTAATTTATGTTAAAATTTTCATTATTTTTTTTCAAAATTAAAAAAAAAAAACATGGCTTGGCCTGGTCCACGGCCCAGATTGGCCCATGGCATGACACCGGCCCCGCGTGGGCTTGGGCCATGGGCCATGCCGGGCCGGCCCCCCAAAGTATCCCAAAGGAGGGAAGCACGGCCCGCACTTTGCACGGGCCGGTGCCAGCCCAGCACGGCCCGATTTATACCTCTAGCGAATGATGGTTACTGTTATATGAGTTATTTCCAAAACCATGAAAATAATAGAGAGGTGGATCATTTAATAGCTATTTTATTTGATTGCCCCAGTCATATTAATATTCAGCCACATCAAGCAGATTTTGGTATCAGGGAAGTAGAATCCAGAAGCACAACCTTAATAGGCAACATGCTGCATAGCTGCCTGGAACTTAATCTGGAATTTGGTTTTCCCATCTAAGGTTTTTTTTTTTCATCTAAAATGCTTTCCTTGACAAAGTATTGATGATTGATCACTCAATTTTGACAAAGGCCATTTGGAACACATCATATTCATTAAAAAAAAAAAAAGAAAAAAACCAACATAAACAAACTAAAAAAGAGAAATAATCATGGAAGGATGCTCCTGAATAAATCCACACTCTATCCACATCTCCCTTAACTAGCTCATCTGCTAGAGAGTTTTGTAGACCTCCATAGTCAGTGATAGGGAAAGCATTGAAGGATGTGGTTGATGAGATTTTGTTGGAATGTTTGAATGTTGTAGGATAAGGTGATCCTCTTTGGGCTGAAATGAAAATTTTGCTTCAAGATTCATGAATGCCCTTGGTGTGCATCATATGAAGAGTTGAACACTGAGGGTATGTTAGAGATGATGGAGAACTGGCCTCTCTAACACAACGACAGAAGCTCCAAGGATAGCTCCATCTCCAAGTTAACCAATGACAACCTGAAAATCTCCCTCACATTCCAACAAAATGTCATCAGCAACATCTTTTAATGCTTCCCCTATCCCTTGTGATCCTGGATTCCTCAAGGAGAACACATCAAGGTCTGTCATTGTCTTATTAGTCTTTTTGAGTGGTTCCGATCACTTGTAGGAACTTTTTTTGGTCAATGACTTGAAGGTTTCATTAAATTATGTAAGAAGTAGAAAGTATAATACATAGAAGTACAGGACAAAGGCACCACTTGTAGAAACTTGGAAGATTTAATTTTGGAGCAACTGCCAATAAAAAAGGGTAAATGTTATAGAAACTCCTTTTCACAGAACTCTGGGGTTTAGAAATGCAAAGGGACTTCGAAAAAGCACCTATGACCTTTATTCTATGTTTTTGAACTTTATGTAATGATTGGGGGGGGGACTTCATTTAATTATTGGGACATTCTTTCTTTGCATATTTTTTGCTTTTACTTAACTAACATTTTGAAGCATTTTCTTGTTGCTAAAACTTCTTGTATTTGGAACCTTAAATCAAAAGTCGATCAATTAGATGGCTATCGGAGGAGAGATGGTCCCTTCAAATTACGGGGGCAAATATGGTGGGTGAGATCAACAGGATCTCTTTTAATGCAACTGTTTATCACATTTGGAGGACAAAGAATAGAATACACTTTGCAAAGATGTTTTTTGCCAACAACAATTACTATGTTGCACTGCCAATGATGGATAACTTAAACTTCAATCTGTAAAAGACGTTGATGGATTATAAGGTTTAGTTGTGATGTAGGACTGCCTGCTCTGATACCAATTGTCAGTTGATGTAGGACTTGAATGATCAAAGGATGAGTCTAGGAGGGTTAGGGTGGATTTAGGATTGAGGACTAAAGACAGGGATTAGTTAGGTTAGAAAAGGTCTTGAGGCCTAACTGCAAGAATAGAATATTTGCCCAAAATTGTGAACTGTTTTCAAATTGGGGAAGATAAACGTAAGGGGCAACAGAATTTGGTTAGGTACAGGGTATATTTTGCTCTAAGGCCCTGTTCACTTTTCGGTAAGTTAATTACCTGGGTAAGTTTTTCCTAGGAAACACTTACCTGGGTAAGTGCTTTTACCCATGTTCTTTTATTTCCCAGGTAAATAAGGCAATGACCATGTTAGCCATAAAAATCCATTATTAAAAGGGGCATTTTTGTCCCATTCAAGTGTTGCAACTTTCCCCTCAAGTGGGAAAGTTATTTACCCACCTAGGAGATGGATAAACTTTCCCTGGTCCCCATATAAATCTGAAAAAGGAACATGGGATTCTTGGTCAATGGGAACCAAAATCCCATTGACCAACTTTCCCCCCTCTCAAAATCCCAAAAAAGAACGCTCCTAAAGGACAAAAATACTGGGATTGGGAGAAAACTTGGAAAATATGGAATCTAGGGTTCTAGGTAGAATTTTGAATTATATTTGATATGATAAAATGTTACAAAGGTACATAGGGGCATCTAGGTATGAGAGCAATCAGATATGGTTTGGCTCAAAGGATAGCAACTGTTAGAACAGGAACATTTTGGATTTTGATGTAAACTTTGAAGAAAATGCACTTGGATCAGTTTTAGACCTTTGCGAATGTACTCTTTTTATGCAGAACTTAGAGCTTTTGATGACTGTAATGATTGTTTGCAGAATTAGAGAATAGAGATAGAAGAGAGAGAAAACATTGATAACAAAGAAGAGAAAGAAAACCTAGAATCAATTAATGGGGTGCCTAGAATCCCTCCAAGGAATTGGGAATCACTCAACACAAGCACAATATGGAGAAAATTACTCAAATATGTTTTTTTGATAAGTGATAAATTGAATTTCATTAAAAATAACTAGAAATTATCAGTGGATACAGCCTGGAAAACAAAATTACAATTGAGCCCAAAATACGTTGTCCCTGAACACCCCTTGCTTAGCTAGAGAATCTGCCAGCCCATTAGCCGATCTCCTCTCCCACTGAACTCTCACTGCTACATTGGAGGTTAACCACTTGAATCTTCTCATCACCCCCTAAAGGACCAGGCTACAGACTCTGGCTCCTTCAGCCATCCAGTGACCAGTTTAGAGTCACCCTCTATCAGCAGTTCCCAAAGTTAAGTTCTCTAGTAAGCTGTGCTCCCTGTAAAACCGCTTGAACTTCTGCCTTAACCGCATCCTCCACTCCAATTGGGCCAGAAAATAGCGCAACAATCTGAGCCTCTGCGTTCCTAAAAACTCCTTCCACTCCAGAAGGCCCCAGATTACCAAAGCAACTGCCATCAAAGTTCAGCTTGATGAAGCCTTCTTTAGGGGGCTTCCAGACTGCTATAGGCTTGTTCTTAGCTGAGGAAGAATTAGCTACCAGTCAGTTTCTCCAAACGTCATCAAAGGAGAATTGTGAAAGCAAATTTGAAGCTTTAGCCCAATTGATAGCCCTGTTCAAAATGCAGTCCCATACATTATCTGCATCCCTCTCTTTGTCATTAAAAATCCTATCATTTCTTTCCTCCCAAACTGTCCAAACCAGAGCAGCCCTAACACATCTCCACAACACTCTCCCCCTTCTCTTAGGGCACCTGAAGGTAGACAGGTTGAATAGACCACCAATCTGTAGAGGTTCTGCTGTCCACCTGCAATAAAAAAGACCAAAGATCTTTTCCCAGAACCCTACAACAAAAGGACGAGATTAGTGGATGGTAACAGCTTTCTCCATTAGTTTTGCAAAGGAAACACCAATTTGGTGAAATGCTAAGGTTAGGTTTTTTGTTTTGCAGGTTATCCAATGTGTTTAACTTCCCAAGAGAAACTTCCCAGCATAGGGCTCCACTTTAGGGGGAATAGGATTGGACCAGATTTCCTTGCAAAAGAAGGCTGAGGGTTAGGGATAGAGCAAAGGCTAGAGAAAA